ATATGCTATCATCAACATCTATGCCCCAAACGGTGCATGAGAGCATCAGAAATTTTTCTCATCAGTCAAATCCCTCCTGCTACCCTCAGACCCTTTTGTAGTTGGCGACATGAACTGTTGGCTAAACACTCCAATGGACTGGTGGCCTTCCTCTTCCCATGCCCCCCAGGGCCACATTGAACTTTGCATTCTAAAAGCCACCCTTGGGTTAATGGATGCACTGCCGTGGCAAGCCCCACTTCTTGAGAACATGATGCGCCCCCATGTCCACAATGGCCAATTAAGGTCTATGTCCCGCATCAACCTTATCCTTACACCGGCGAAATTCCAACCCCACATATCCCACTTTAAAACAACAAAAATAGAATTCTCCAACCATCGACTGGTCTCAATAACCTACCACCTACCTGTCACAGCTGCTAAGGCCCCACATTGGTGCAAAATCCGCCCCCCACGCTCACATTGCTAGGATTTTCCATGTGGGTGGAATCAGCAACTTTGGCAAAAGAGTTTGTTGCACCATTTTGTGTGGACCCCATTTCCACATGGGCAACTTTCAAAGAAGATACCATCTGCCAATCTCGCCACCTCTCCTATAGATGCTCACAAGCCACATCGGCTGTCATTTCATATGCTCTGGCAGAGTTGGCACACCTGGATTCCAACATTCCAGCTACAGGATACAGCTCTGCATGGGGCTGGAAGTGGGTGGAGGCAGCCGCCCACCTCAACATGCTCAAAAGGCAACACAAACATTGGGTTTGTGTTCAGTACAGGGCCAAATGCATCACAAAAGGTGACAAGTGCACTGCATATTTTTTAAAAAAAAAATTTGCACCATGCCAGAGTGTGGCCTGCACACAGGTGTGAAGATCGGATGATTCCATTGTGGATGTGCCAGCCAAAGTGGCAATCAAAAAACAAAAGTATTACTCTGAGCTGTACCAATCTGATCCAATTCAGCCAGCCAAAGTGGCAGAATTTCTTGACTGAGCCCACATCTGCACCATTTCCCAATACCTGGAAATAATGAATTTGATTACTCCGAATGAATTATGGACAGCCATTTGTGGTGCACCAAACTGAAAATGCCCAGGCCTGGATGGCATTCCATATGAATTCTACAAAAAGTATTTCAAATATATATCCCCACTACTGTTGGCCTCACTTAACCAGAGCCTTTTGGAAACGCGCCTCCTGCCAGGAGGACAAGAGGCCTTCACCATCACACTCTTCAAGAAAGGGGACAAGCTAGACTTAGCCAACTGGCGCCCCATTTCTTTAACTAACATGGATACAAAAATTTTAACAAAAATCATGGCTAACCATTTAGGGATTGTAGCATCTGCCACCATCTCCCCAGAACAATTCAGTTTCATACCCAGAAGGTCAATTTGGGACAACATGCACTCTGTGGCCAACGCGTGCCAGTCCACAGCCTCTGGGGCACTTGCATTCTTGGACCAACAGAAGGCCTATGATAGAGTAAATTGGGAATACCTCAGGGCCTGCCTCCATCAATTCCGCTTACCCTCTCGCTTCATCAACTGGGTGAAGCTGCTCACAGAATCTGCAACAATGGCAGTACGTGGCCCTGGCTTCCTAATAGAAGTAGTCCGCCCTCAAAGGGGCTTGCAACAAGGGGACCCCCTTAGCCCACTCTTATATAACTTCAGCCTTGACCCACTACTTCGAAACGTGAATGCCCAACTCACTGGGGTCCATGTGCCAGGCTAAGCCCCAGTCAAGATGATGGCGTTTTCAGATGACTGTGTGGTTGGGGTGTTAAATAATAAAGATGCACGCGCACTTGAAGCTCTCATCCAGTAGTATTCCCAGGTAAGTAACGCTGCACTGAACGCCTCCAAAACTGAAATCATCCTCCTTGGTCAGTATCAAAACTGCTGGGCCCCTGCAACCAGTGCCCAGCCCAGCACATCTGCTCACAAACGCGCTCGCCCTCCCTGCTCACCCCACTGGTGCTCCCCTTTGTGCCACGCCTTACCATAGGGCCAGTCCGCCATCTGGGCGTGTGGGTGGAGGCAGGCGGATATGCATCAGCAGTAATGGAGAGTCATATTCTAGACAACGTGATGAAGCGCATCGCCTCCCTCAGAGCCCACCCTACTTCCCTTACTGGCAGGGTCGTTTTGGCCAACTCTATGCTCCTCTCCAAAGTCTGGTTTGGAGCCCACGCCATCCCCTTCTCCCCAAGCTTCTTCAAATCCTTGCATGCCCTGCTGCAAGGATGGCTATGGTCAGGCCGCCCTCCACCAGTATGGTTAGAAGTCATGTTTGGCCCTCATCAGCATGGTGGCATGGGCCTGCTTGACTTCAGAGCCCATGCAGCCAAGATCTTGGGTACCTGGATTGTGGCCATCACCGCCCCTACACTCCCCTACCAACACTGGTCTCGTGCAGCCTGCTCCAACTTCTCCCGCGCCTTGGGCCTCAACAATCCATCAAACCCCCACTCCCTGATGAAATACCAGGCTTTGCACCCATTGGCCACAGGTCCTCACGGTACTAAAACCCACTACAAATTAATCCTACTCTCCATGTGGAGCGCTGAGTGGATAATTTGTATTAGTGGACATACAAACTGAAGAGGCCGCCCCTCTCCTCAGTTCACACAAGAGGTACAGGGGCTACCCAACCATGATGGCGTGATCCCCATACGGCCCCATGTCCTATCCAGGGTGGACTACCTGGACATGATGGACATCCCTTACTCCATTGAGACCCAAAAAACCATCTGGAAATACGCTCACCATCCTCTGTTGCAGCCTCAAATCTGCTCCCATGTGTGGCGCTGCCTGATGCGGGTGTACCATACAGCTGAGCGCTCTAACGCTTTACACTCATCCTGCGTCATGTGTGGCCAGTATGGAATGCTGTTCCACCGCCTGGAGAAGTGTCCTACCTCTAAAGTGATATGGCGCGAAGCTCAACGTTTACTGGGCCAGAATCAAACACATCCCTTCAGTCTGTCAAGAGATATGTTTGCTTTATCAATGGCCTCCCCCTTTCACCCTCCCTCCATGCTCTGGTGGTTACAATTGCCATGTGGACCATCCACACAATTGTCTTGGATGCCATCACAGGCTCCATCTCCACCCTCCCAGAAGCTGTCCACAGATTCCAGTCTCATTTGGTGGACCACTTTCAAGTGTGGATGTTTGGATACCTCCCACCATGTTGCCAACAGCTGGTATCCTCCTGGTTCCCAGTTTGGTTCATCAAATCAGACCCCTTCCTCCACATGTGTTCAATTGTGGCTATGGCCCCTTCACGCGTTCCCTCCCCTTCCCCATAAGTGGCGTTCCCGCTGGCAACAAGAGATAGCATCGCTTCTATGGGGTGCCTTCCCTGTTACTAAGTGTTGTCTCAGTTGAGTCAATTTTGGAAGTGTCCATCCCATGGTCGGCCTTCCCGCAATAAATTTAAAATATTGAGGAAATCAATTTTATTAAAAATAACAATTTAGTCAGCCAAAAAACCCTGGCCAACTCTCAGTGGAACTCCACAAATCAGAGCAACATTTTTAAAAAAATTATTTTGGTAAATAGCACAAAGTTGGGAAATCCAATTCCTCCAACCTCATGGCCTATTCCAGGGCATCCATCAAAGGGTTCACCCCCATACTCATCTAATCCCATTCAAGCACCTACGTGGGGAAACCCCTTTTAGGCGTGGCTGAGGTCCCCCAAGGTGCAATATTTTTAGCAAAAGGGGATTGGCTAGGATATATTAAGTTTTTACCTCATGTGTACGTCTTGCCACAAAATAATCCCCCATTTGTCATCCAGCCTAAAGGAAGCGAGATCTTTGGAGCTTTGATAGGCTAGATTCACATATTACCAAAATTTGGAAATTACCAAGCCATACAAACGTCAAGCCTTGACGTTTTAAACACCTTTATTGATGTTAAAGTGATACTCTCTTTTACCCCTGTGTGGCACCTATTAAAAATGATAAATTTAAACTTTTAGTTGTTTTCTTATTTATTATTATTTTCCTATCAGTGGTGAGTAAAGCCCCTGATTTATATTGTTGGATTTATGGCAGCAAGCACTAGCGAGCTGATTTCAAAGCCAAAAATCCAACAACCATCTCTCAGTTATAAATGCTGCTATTTATTATTATTATTTATAATTAGTCTTTATACCTTATTATAAGTTTTAACTTTTGCATAAATTTTTTACTATCATTTTCTTAACAACAATTACATTGTCACTGAAAATGGCCTAAATTTCATTAAAAAGTTATGGTCCCTTTGTTGCAGTATTCTATATGTAGAAAATGATAACATATTAGTATTTCCTAACTTTTGACTATATCACTTCATGTTATCACCATAATATCTTGAAAAAAAGCCTCAATTATATAATGATACATAATTTTTAAAACTCCAGTAACACCACTAAAGATATTTTTAAAAAATTAAATGTATCAGGATTTTTTAGTGAAGGTGACTCCTTGCATCTTTCCTCAGCCAATACTAAAAGAAAAACAAACTGGGTGATAAGTATGCTGATGATATAACCTACTTTATTCATCAAAACTACAATAAGCATAATATTCTTTAGTAGCCAGCTTTAAGTTTATATAAGGTATCAGAATATGTAACCCTCCTTGCATCACTTAAGCCTAAAACAGATACAGAGCAATGTTTTTTTAACCTTTACATTCCTTAATTTACTTCATTAAAACACCCAATGCAATTATTTTAAAATTTATTAATGATTTTAGATCAGATCTTATTCTAGTATGATTATTATCCAAGATGGAATAGAAGCCTTATATTAAAAATTTGTCTCTCTGATAACTAATAAAATGATAGTAAAAAGAAATATTTAGTTTTGGCTTGGAAAAAAAGAATAGAGATTTAAACATTGCAAAAAATATACTGTTAAGAATAGCCATGTGCTAAGTTTATAACTATGCTCTTTAGTGTGGTTTCATTTTTTTGCATAAAAAGTAATTTTAAGGTCTTACTATGCTCCCGGCGGGGATCGAACCCGCGACCTTCGCGTGACTAAAGTATATATTAGATATAAGCACGACGCATTGACCACTTTGCTACGGGAGCTTGTTTAAATTATATTAAAAATAAATTTGTGGTTTTTGGCTTTTAAATGGCTAATTTACTTATATCACAGCTGTTTACCTATATATTAAATTGGTAAAATATCTGAATTTATTTAAAGGTGAAATATTTATTATGCTTTATCAATTAATTACTTTTAAGATAGGTACTAGAAAAGAACAATCTTAAATGAACTTAACACTGCCTCAATATTGTTTATACTTTTTTATAAGCTATAGAAAGCAAGAATTTTAGCATATGTAACTAACACTTAATAGAGGCAGAATATATTTTAGTGCAAAATTAATGGTAAAAATAATTTCTTAAAAACTATTATTTATCAAAGTATAGTTAAAAAGTATAATTTAAAATTCCATTTGCTAGTATATTATCTTAGCTACTCAACAATATAAACTCACTAAAATTGGTTATCTAGAAATTATAGCCTGATAATCATAAAACTCGCTACCCTGGATGTTTTCCCTAAACATATGCTAATTAACATATAGCCTAAATACATAAGTTATTTTCAAACTATCACTTCTATTATAGTTATTTCAATATATATACTACAATATCCATTTTGACACAGTTTAAATATAAAATTGTATTAAAAGTATTATATATAAAGCTATATTTTTAATAGGTATAAATTCAATTGCTATTTGTTTTTTGGGAAAGATACACCAGTGGTATAATATGTACCCTCTACCACTGCCTCCCCAAGCTCAATCCTGGTTGATGAACTGTGGGCAGAGGACAATTATGACTGTGTTGGCGTTACACACTAATGCCCTGAACTGAGAAAGCAGATAGCAATGGCAGTCCATGGAGTTCCTGGCCTATCATATGCCATGCATGGAGGTTTTCCAGGTTGTATCCTCCTTTCCCATTCATTTGATTTCCCCTTAATTGATGCAGTATCATTCAGGTTGGCCCATCTCAAATAAAAATTTAAATTGTTATTTGTTTTCAAAGGATTCTTAATTTTATACATGAAGTCATTATGAAGGATTGTAATTTACTAAGTAGTATAAGCTTTATCTATTGGTAATTTAAGGGAATTTACCATTATACCAGAAATTACTTTTATACAAGGGGAAGCTTTAATGAAATAGTCAGAATTCAAAATCTAATATAACTTTACTATAGATAATTAATAGTTAAAGCAGTGTATTCTTGGAGGTAGGGACATGAAAAATAATCCTTGTAATTGGAGCTCATAATTCATTAAAAGTTACAAATTACAAAGTATGCAAATCTGTTCTTTAAAATTATCCTAACCAGATAGGTTAATACTAAAGTATTTTAGAAAGGTTGTCAGTGTAAAAATTATTAAACTAGTTTTGGACATTATTTGCCATTTAATTAATATTAATAGGGACCTTGGACTTATTACTAAGAGATATGTTCCTGGAATCACCAGGTATAGCTATCACAAAAAAATAATATCATGAATTTCTTTGGTAAGTTTTTCATTTATAGAAGCAGAGAAACTCAAATCCCAAATAATGATAACATTATAAGTGTTATCCATATTTATCAATCTTTAATTGCTTGAGTATAAGAAATAGACGTTTAAAATATACATAAGATCCTAATCATGTTTTTCTTTCCATCCCTAACTTCTGTACTTCTATAGACTCTCATTAGGAAAAGACTGATAAACATCAATCATATCAACAATTATAATTTTAAAAATTAATACCACTTTCTATAAACTAGCAACTTTTGTCTCTCACAATAGAAACCTTTTCTTCTTACACTTGAAAACCCTTTAACTTTTTACTAACTAGTATTTATGGCATGGCATTTCCTCATCTTTTTCTTCAAAGTGCTATAATATCCTTTCTGAGTCCCTAAGACTTGTTTCTAGTGGTTATGTTCATAATTTTAACTTTTATGAACAGCCAGATTATTTATCTTGTATGATAAAATTAGTGTTAAGAACATGAGTAAAGGAATTTATTCCTGTAACACATATAAGTGTATACAATATAGTATATAAATAAATTTTAGATACAAATAGTATATAATATTTCTTATAAAAGTATAACAATGTAACTCATTCACAAGTATAATAATATTTATACTATAATAAACTATTTTTTTGGTAATTTCTTCACTGATTAAGATTTATAAAAGAGGTGGATGCCATAGTTGTCAGTGCAGAGCCTAGCACATGAAAAACCAAGAGATAGTCAATTTTTCCATAAAATCTGACATGTTTAAAGTGAGATGAAAATCTGATAATTTTAATTTGAAGTCTTTTGTAAAATGATCAACTCAAACCTTATTATGGTTCACAGTTATTCACAGGTCATTGAGAGTGGGCCCCAGAGGAGAATAATTCCGCCACTACAAGGATGATCAAGAAAGAGTGGGGCTAAGTGCATTTGGAGAATTATATAACCATGGACAGCTAATGATGATATTTTGTGGTCAATAAATTATATAGAAGTAAGTTCCAATAAATATTTAATACTTTTATATATTTGTGTCATATAACTACATAGGAATACAAACTACATTTATATTATCTCTTTTTGAAATGACACACTAAAGTTCCCCACTCCCAGATGTGGACATAGGAAACCTGACAACATGTTAGAAACCCCTTACATGATCCTTATCCTTAACACTAATATCCAATGACAGAACCGCTAGTTTGATAGACCTGACAGAGTTAAATTAAATATAGTGTTTATTCCTTTTCAGGGTTTTAATTAACTAGCTTCACCTCTGTCAATTACATAGTGTAACTTCCCCCTGTTATACTGGACCTTTCACTCCAGTTTATCAAGTCCAAGGATTAACATCTTAGACTAGCAAAGTAAATAATGCCTATGACAATATTCAGAAGAAAATCCGACTACCAGCCTTAAGGTTGAAGTTTGTTATTACCCTTTTCACATTAATTGGGTTGTCAGTTGAGGGCTTCTATTATCAATAAGTAAGTTATTCCAATCAAGTTTTTTACTAAATTATTGTCAACCAAATTATAGAATTATCAGCATGGAGGTGGCAGATGCCATTACTTGATAGAGTTGACTATCTTCAGGCTTTAAGTTAATTCTTCTTACATGCTTTAGTAGTATCTATCCCTTGGTTATCCTACCTTGGATATTCAAAACCTATTACTAGATCAGTACAATCTATATGTTCAACGGTAATATTTTATTGCTTGTATGGTGTTTCCATCAGTGGATCAGTTTAGGATGTATAATAGATTTGATCATAAACCTGATGTTGTCAAAATTTACTAAAACAGTTCTTAAAAATAATAAGTTTACATAAAGAAAGATGTTACTTTTTAAATTATAAATTGTGAGCAACTATGATGCAAAAAACAGATGTCAATTTATAGTGCTTTAGTTTTTATTTTGGATTCTGAGATGTTGTAGTAATATAGTCAGTCAGAATAGCTTATATATAAATTAAGGATTACAGTATGATAAGACATATAAAAATTGAGCTTTCAATTATCTACTTAATAAACACATTCACTGACTGATGTACTGACTGACTGATGTACTGAATAACATCTGAAACCTTTGAGTCCAATAGGTTTAATTTAATTGGGTGATTTGGTGAGACTTATAAAATATTATTGAATCTGAAACTAAGTCTGATGGTTTTAATATATTTGGGTGAGTGGGTGAGAATTAGCAAATATAGCTAATAATTCATAAAATTGCTCACCTGAAACTAATTGTGTCTGATAGGTTTAATCTATTTGGGCAAGTGGGTGAGAATTTAAAATATTATCAAATAGTTCACCATATTGCTCACCTGAAACTAAAAAAATCAGTCAGAGTTTTAAGTGGATTATTAAATAAATTTAGTATAACCAGATCACCAGCCATGAGGGCAACAGCAAAGCTGTTAGTCTGAGTAGATCAAGTATAGTACTGGCACAGTCTTTAGGCTATGTCATTGGAGCTTATAAACCCAAGCAACGCTGGGTAACTCCGCTTTCTTAGTATTCTTAATATAAAAGCTAAACATAAATGATTGGAATTGTTCAGTTATAAAGAAGCTGGATGAAATTTGATTGTTGAGCTCCATATACCATATTAGGGATGGGTTATGGGAATAATAAATTATTAAACCAAGTAACGCTGGGTAAATTGGCTAGTATTGAGCTAAAAAGCTTCAATTTCAGCTATATATATTAATATTGCTCTGGCTAAGATAACGTTACTTTTTTTAATTAAGGTGCATTCTAAACAATAATGTTAGACCAGCATCTATAGTTAGAAAACAACGGCTATAGTAAGTAAATAAATGCAAAAGTTTTCAGATACAAGTCTGCTAAGTTTAAGTTAATGGTGCAGGACCAACACATAATAAGGTTGAGGATAACTTGTTTATTAGAATTTGTCAAGTAATTAATATGACTGGATGATAAGCCATATATCCAGCGGATTGTAGTATATGAGTCAGGGTGAGCCTCAGTATTAGGCAGAAGATTGTGTTGATGCAAGGAGAATTGATCAAAGTATACCTAGTTTGGAAAATCAAGGGAATTCTACTGAAGCCTCAAGATAAAGCAACAACTCCTAAAATGTAACAAATAAGAGATTACTAAGCATAATGGTTAAAATTAACTAAGAATACCAAGGATAATAGTTGAGCAGGAGAATGAGAAGGGGGAGGTTTTTAGTAATCAGCAGAGCTACTCTGCAATTTTATATTTATAATAAAAGTGTCAGTTGGGGCGATAGCTCCATATTCATATCAGTTTTTATTAAGGATTTGGTAATCTTCATATTGTCCGTTTCATTGCTCATTGGTGGTTATCCTGTGCAACCAGCCTGGCGGATTTAACCCATATTGCTGAAAGTTAACAGTGGTGCTCACTACAAGAGGCCACTGGTCAATTGTAGTACAATAGCACTAGGGAATCATGGAAAGCCCTCATTTGTTATGCCAAAATTTAATAGGGCTTCACAACTGATATCCTGGAGTACCAATGAGACCTCTAATGAGGAACTGGCACC